AACCGCGAAACCAGGACAACAGAGACTGGTTCCCTCCGGCGGTTTTACTGAAGCTTCTCACCCATTGAGCTTTGAGCAGGTCCGCTAAATTCGTTTTCATTCCCTAAAGCAATTTTTTTGTCGGGCCTTCGTGTTCCGGACTCCGGACATTTTCCGGGAAAGCGATGCGCTCACCTGGGATGCGCGTGAAAACTTGGTCCAGACCTGTGCGATTTCGGCGGCTTCTGCTGGCACACTGTGCTCACCGTGCTCATCAAGGGCAGCACCAGTGAAAAGGGCAGCAGAACCCACAAACATGTCTGGTGCGACATTCGCCGACTCTCTATTGTCCTCCAGTGCAGCTCCTTGGAAGATGGGCCCCACCCCCTTTGACAAAGGGGGGCTTAAGCCCCCCTTTAAGCCCCCCTTTAAGCCCCTTTAAAGCCCCCTTTAAAGGGGTCTTCCCTAAGGGGGGGGGGGGGGCAAAGGGTCCCGGGTTCCAAATCTGGGTTAGAACACAGAACAGGGTTTAAAAGCAAGAATATTGCCACGAAGTTGCTTTTGAGGCTTAACAGCGAATGAAACACAAAAATGGAAGGGCTGCGCCTCCTTCTTTCTGTTTTGTAAAAAACTTCCTGCATCGTTGATGCCCCAGACTGTGTCTGGCATGTCGTTTGGGCGCAGGTGTGGGCGTTCCCACCCAGGTGTAAGGTCCAACAGGTAGAAGAATGAGACGCTCACACGAAAATTAATTTTTGGGTGGCTCAGCAGAAAGCAGAAACACGAAATTTAAGACACGGAAAAGTCACATAAAATCGTTTAGTGCTGAAAAGAGGAGCAAATTTTCCAGTATTTGAACTTAACTTCAAATACAGGTGTTCGAACCCAAGAACACCAGCGTTCAAACCTCAAATTTAAATCCTGTGTGCGAACACAGTTTTCGAACCCGGACTTCAAAAGACACCGGTGACCAGTGTTCGAACACCGGCTCCGAGAACTGGTTCAAGTTGGAGTTCAACGGGAAGTTGAACTTGGTGTTTGAACTAAAAGTTCGGAGACGGTGTAACGAAATTCGACAGTTTCCTTCCCACCGGTGCCATTTTCTGCAGAAGGCTGTTTCCTGTGGCAAGCCGTTTCTTACGTCAGACAAACTCTCTCTCTTCGATTTCTGTGTAGCATCTTCTTTTGTGCTGGAAAAGACGTTGTTCACCACGTGTGGATGGAATAGAGACAAGAGTGAGAAGGGCAAGGAGAAAGGGAAAGGCAAAGACAAAGGAAAGGGCAAAGGAGAGCGAGCAGACAAGGGCAGCAAGGAGAAAGAGAAGCCCGGAAAGGGTTCAGCTGCACGTGCCAAGAGCAGGCCAAGAAGACCGACGTTTGCCACAACTGCGGGAAGAAGGGGCATTGGGCCTGCGACTGTTGGCTGAAGCAAGCCGCTGCGGTTTCCCCCACGAGGCTAACCACTGTAACGACAGGCAGGCAGCGCCAGCGCGAGCAATCAGCCTACAGGGACGTTGGGAAGGGAACAAGTCACCTGGCTTTTCTTTTTTCAAACGCATCTTTTCAACGTTTTTTCCATAATCTCCAACCCAAACAAAGCGAAAATCAACAGAAAAACAACGTGAACAGACGCCTTCTATACAAAAGCAAAGGCCACACAAAATCGCTAAGGGATTTAAAAAATGAAGAAAATAGACGCAGCAGAAACATTAAAATTCAGAGACACAAACACAGAATCGTTCTCGTTGCGCTCTTAGAAGCTCAATGGAGGCTGAGGACATTCCACACAAAATCGCCTGAGAGGCTCAAAACAACGGAAAAAAATTACGAAATCGCTTGGAGAAGCTTTATACGCAATAACCGACCTGGGTTTCAAACCAGGTTCTGGAACCCAGGTTCGAGGAAGGTTCTGAACCTGCCATTTTGAAGAAAGAAACAGTCGGCAGGTACCTGATCCAAGCTCCGCTCTGCTTCAAACTTGGTTCCAAACGGTTTGGAACCTGCGGTTTTGGTCAAAACCTGGGTTCAAAGGTGTTCAAACCTTGGGTTATGTTGCACAGGTTTCAATCTTAGGTTTTCTGGGTTGTTGTTGTTTGTCCTCCCCCGCTGGAAGGGGGCCGAACCTAGGTTCGAACCTGGGTTTGAACCCGGGGGTCAGCAGTCACTCCCACAAACTGAGCAAATGAAGAGAACGCGCAAAAAACAGAACAAGCTGTGACGTGGCTGGCAGATGTTTTATGCCTGCGTGGCGGGAGATTGATTGCAATCGGTACCTGAACATCACAAATGATGTTGCCAGCACTGCTGATTCTGGAAGAAAAGTTTTTCGATGAAACTGCATGCTGTTAAGATGCTTTTCAGAAAACTTGGAAGAGTTTGACAAAAGAGGGTGCATCCGCGTCCGCACAGCATTTCTTATTATTCCCTATTTTTTTGGAAAGTAAGGCATTCGAGAACTTTCGAACCAACACGGTGCTTTCCTCTTGAAGGAAGAAGGTTTGCAAAGAGTTTCGGCTCATTTTAAAACCACTGCTTCTCCTTCATTTGAACCTCAAAGAGACATGGCTCTTGTTTCACAATCGACGAGATCTTGCTTGTTTGGAGTCCCATCCTTCGAATCCTTTCTGAACTTTCTTTTTCTTAGAATTCCAAAAACAACACCAAGTCATACTTTTGAAAGAAGTTGAAGGTCAAGGAAGTGTGTCGTTTGGTTATTTTGGAGTCTTTTTGCAAGTCTTTCTTCAGCCACTTGGCATTTTTTTGCATTCTGACATTTTCAATTGCAAGAAAGGAAACAAAGTGGAGTTGGACCAGGCGAAAACAGTACGCAGCAGGGCTTGTGAGTTGGAATGGTTTTTCAAGGTTCTGTGAGGCCGTTTGACCTGACTGGAATACTTTCACCCTGTCCTCTCGAGTCAGTAAACCATGGATTGTGCTGGCACTTCGATCCAAGGATCCAATGCACTTTGTTACTTTGTTTGCGTTTTCATGTTTTTGTTTGCCATGTCGCAGTTGTCTTTATTGCTTCTGGGTTGACTGTGTATTTTTTCTTTTCAAATTGTTTGGTTTGCTCAGAAAGCTTGAGCCGTTGATCTGCGATTGATTTCGCATGCACAACTTGGTTTTCTTCCGTCGCGAGTCCGTTTTCGTCATGTGACTGTGACGTAAATGCTGAGTTATTCTTCGTGATTTGTGGAATGTTTGCAACGCCAACCCACGGCATGTGGATTTGTTCACATGTGATTGAAAAATGAGAGGCTTGTCAATTGTGAGCACAGTCGTGGCAGGTTCGTGCGGCTGCTACCCCTCGTTTGCAACCTCAACACTGTTGGTTCAATGTTCTACTTTTGCCGAAACAGGTTGTATCTATTTGTATCTCCTTACATACCGTTTTGGGGAGGTGTATATATCAGGAGGCAGTATTCACGGATTCTGATGGTCGCCTGGTCGCGACCCTGTTGTGAGCGGCTTCGATCGTGATTACCTGACATGCAATTTTGATGTTAAGGTTTCTTGTTGTACCAGCTAGGAGCAGAATTCGCATGCATTCCGGCCATGTTGTGATTTGGTTTGTGATCCCGGCTCCAGATGAGATGAGAGGTTGAGTGAACATGGTCACAGATTGCTAGCGTGTTGTTCATGTTGCTGCCAACCGTCTGTCGACATTGGCAAGGTGCAGCACGAAGTTTTTTTTAGAACCAAGGCAACTTCAAGTGCTTTCAAAATTTCAGCAATTTCGTTTCGTGGCATAAGGGGGTTTGACGCCTTTGCTGCTGCAAGATGGAGCGATGGGCTGCGTTCTTGATGTATTTCTTGTCCATATGTAGTGGACAAGTTGAGCAGCTACCAACGTGGAAGTTTTTGGTCACGTTGGATGATACACTGACTTTGCCTGCTGGCACCCACGGATCAGACCTTATGGCTGATTCTGCATTCACAATATTTGTGCAGAGACTTCTCTCCGGAGCGATGGTGTTGCCCATAACCCACATTGCACCGTCGGCGTTCGTGCTCCAAAACGCGACTGTTATGGAAGACGTTCACGCTGAAGCTGTCAATGCATATGGCGGTTCTGGTCACGGAAAAAAAGCTGTCAGATTCGTGGCAGAGCTGACGGTAAACAGCAGACCTGCCCAGCACTCAATTTCACCCAGATTTGCGTTGTGGTTCTGAGTTCCGAATTGCATAGGCATGTAGTCGAAGCAAGGTCGCGCTCGAGATTTGGCGGATGCCTTCGCTGTCGCTGGCGGGACTTGCGCCGTGGCGAAAGCTTCGTATAGAGACCTTGACGGACATGTCGATTTTCCAATGATGTCAGCGATTTCCATAATTTCGCGGTTTCGGGATAAGAGGTAGGGAGAGGGACGCCGTCCCTCCTGCGTTTCACTGTACAGAAGTTTCACAGTGTCGAGCACAAACTGTGATGGCAGACAAACTTGCATTCATCTTCTATTCCGAGCAGAGCAGGCTGTCTCCGGCATTATGGGTTTGTTGTGCATGCATGCATGCATGCACATAAACGTAGCTAGGTAGGTAGGTATGTAGGTAGATGGGTATGTATGCATGTATGCATGTATGTATGTATGTATGTTATGTTACGTTATGCTATGTTATGTTATGTACACGAGTGTGCGTGGATGCGCATTTATATCTTTAGGCAATCTTTGCTGCATTCATGTATAAGTTAGGCTACATGGCATTCTTCATCCATGCACACGCTGAGCCACGGCTCTGTGACTCGTAGATTCGTAGGTCTTGTTCCAGTACATGACGTGGCACATGAACGGGGTGGTTTCTGCTGCGGAAATGCGGTTGAAAGAGCCCGAATGACAGCTTCCATTCGCCATCATTTGCACCTCGCTAGAGGTCACAGACGGCTTGGAGGCTTTGGCTCAAGTCCTTATTGCAGCCCACATTAATTCCAGCCAGTCCTGGCTTTGCTCCAGTCAATGGTTGGACCAGTACCCAGTGTGCAAATAGCCCGTAGAAGACTATGCTAGTCGCAGCAACACAAGCTTCTCATGGCCGAGCGAAATCTACACCGGCCCAACGATGCTAGTGCTGGCCGGTTTTCGGCCCCTCCGTTGCCTGGACGGAACTTGGAGCCACTCTCCTCAAACAAAGCGAAGGATGGCCTTAGGATGTCACCCGTTCCCAGTCCACCGAAGTCTCGCAAGAGCATCCGTGCACCAGAGCGCTTAGCAGAACGGCTAAAGGGCGGACATGTCCGTGGCATGCTTGCGCGTGCTGGTCTCCGACAGATCGTCGAGGAGCAAAAGGTGGAGCCAGGTCGCTGGAGCCACAACGGCCGGGGTCTCTTCACTGAACTCGTGCAGGTAACACAGGGCTCCTCGATGTCTGATCTGCTCGTCGCCCTGACACGCGTCAAAGCCTTGGAAGTTGAACACTGGCCCGAGAGTATAAAGGCTACCGAAAAGCTCGAACTGCTCCGATCGCTGCAGAATCGATTGCAGTCGGCGCTGAGCTGCAGCAACATCGAGGAAATTGAGATGCTGCTGCAGAGCGTGGCAGTGGGAATACGAAGCCATCCCGACTTCTGCTTGCTCGTGGCCGCTGTCGAGCAGCGACTTCAGAAACTGCGAAGCCTGCGACGGGAGCTGAGATGCGCGGCCCGGTCTTCCGACGTCATCCTGCTGGCTGGCTCGCTGCGGATGGCAGATGAGCTCGAGGTAAGGAGCAACCAAGCAGCGACTCCTTGGAAAGAAGTCGAGGTTGCGGAAGCTCAAAGCTCAGCTGTGGGTGCTTTTGCAAAGTGCGAACTGCTTCAGGCGCAGCATCCAAGAGGGTGCATCGTGCATGATTCACAGAGAGTCATGTACATGCGACCGAGGTCCGCTTGAAGGTACTGCACGCGCTGATTGCGAAAATGTCTTGGTCTCAGCATTGTGCCCATGCAAAGTAGACAGAACTTTTTGTAGTTGGAGGGTTTCGGCGGAACGCAGCGCAGAATGCTTGAGAGTCGCATGCGGCGACGTTGGCGCGGCAGCGATCCCGTTTGACTTGATTGTTAGGACTGCGCGGGGCAGCGTCTGGCTCAAGGGGCTGCTCTGAGACCGGGTATGCATTGGGCACCACAGAGGCAAAAGTTAGAAAACCGAGGTGGCAACTAACTAAGCGGAAGAGAGTAGGTCGCCACTTGCTACCAGTCCCTCTAGGCACACATGGACAGGTCTGGAGGGCTTGTTCTGACAGCCACTGCGGGCAGTCTGATTCTGGCCTTCCTGTGGAAGCGAAGTCGTGAGAAGCGGCACAGAGTGCCGTGCGAAAGCTGGGCAAGATGGGCGATGTCAAAGACCGACGAGTCGTCCTTTCAAGCTCCGTTGTTACTGACAGGCGTCCCTCTCGGAGAATGCATCGACAGGTGGTCGGACAAGTACCTGGAGAGAATCGTCGGCGAGACAAAAATTTCTGTTCACATCTCCAACACCCGCTTCTTGGACTTCGCGTCGAAAAATTTCAAGTATGAGATAATGACCTTTCAAGGGTTCTTGCAGCGCATTCAGTCCTCGAGCGAAGGAACCTTTCTGTATTATCGCTCACAACATCAAAAACGGAACAAAGCTTCAAGCTTGGATGCCCTTGGTTCGATCGGGGACGACTTCGTTATGCCCCGGCTTCTTCTAGCTCCATTCCGAGTGCACTCTACTGTGTTGCGGGTAGCCAGCACTGGCTTGTGTATGTGGCTGCATTACGATGTTTGTGACAACTTTCTTTGCTGCATACGCGGGCGAAAGCGCGTTGTCCTCTTCCGCCCAAATGACATTGACCGCTTGTATGTGTCAGGCTCTTCCTCTGCAATGGGGAGCCGTTTGTTGCAGAAGCGAGGTCATACACAACTCTGGAAAGAGTTTCCGTTGGCAAGTGCTGCCTGGGCTCGACGCCTGGAAGTTGTGCTCAACGCTGGTGACGTACTCTTTATCCCTGCATTCTGGCCTCATTGCACGGAAGCGCTTCCGTTTAAGGGCAGTTGTTCCAGCATAAGTGTAAATACATTCCTGCAGCGTCCTGAGTGGGCCAGTTTGCACGATCCCAAAGATGTTTGGGCAAATCGAGAGCTTTTGCCAGCACAAGAAGCAACCAAAGGTTTGGAGAAGATCTTGCCGCAGCTTCAGGAGCTGCCTCCAGTTCCTCGAGCCTTCTACTGCCACAAAATGGCTGCTGAATTGCTAGCCATGGCCAATTGACTCCGATAGCTGGGTATGCGAACCGCAAAACTATACCGTGTCTTGCATAGTCGTAGTCCGAAGGTGATGCCTCTACTGAAAGTCATTTGGGGAGAACATCCCGGAATTCGGGAATCTCAGGACAGCTCTCTTGGGCATCGTGGGCGAGGTGGACGAGGCTTCGTGACTTGAGAGACACGTATGCAAGCTTCTTTGCTCTGGGCGATGACATGTGATTGGTCTTCGTTTGTTTGGTTGTGCTGCTAGACCTGACTTACCAGACTTAATTTTTTTGTAAGATTGATGCCGTCTTGGATCGCGCAACTGAGAAGATTTTTGTGAGAAGAGACAAAGGGTAATACGTGTGCTTGGCATTCATTCATGCATTCAGTCAAACATCCTCCAGGCAATCTACCTGGAGGCAATGGACATTCTCATTGCATGAGCAACTGACGCTGCCGTGTATGTTGAGAGGTGCTGGGACATGCCAGCAGAGTCGTCGAGGATGATCCACCACCCCCTATAGGCTGGGACATAGGTCCACATGCCTGCAGCGTCCATCTCGTCTATCGAGCAAGATGACAGGATCGGTTCTCAAAGCAGTCAGGGAGCAATTCCAGCAGAGGCTGGCCTGCCTTAGTCTGTCCAAGTTCTTACGACAGCAGAAGAAGCTTGGAGTCTGCAAGCAGGTTTGGCCATGACTACAGCCCAACGGTTGCTAAGAGCTCATTCTCGGTCTCTGCCACATGCCACTATGGAGCTCGACCTGCCCCAGGCTGCAGAGATGGCAGCGAACAGGGCTCAGCAGGCTGCATGGGAGAGGGAGGGCTGACCGGAGGGTCCGGGTCACGGAGCAGTGCCACGTGCACGATGCTGCTGCACTTGCGGGCGAGCTGGGCCGCATCCCGCCTAAAGGAGTTGCTGGCATGTCGTATGGCTTACATGGCGCGGTGCTGTATCAGGTTTTGCGGTAAAGCTCACATCTCTATGATCCCACCACATAGCTGACTGTAGATGCACACTGCGCCACAGTACAGAATTCTGCAACCCTGCCAGATTTCGGTGAAAAGCTCGCTTTTGGAAGGATGCGTCTGCTGGCGTTTCAAACCAGCAAAGGCACCCCGAAGCCACAGGGGGCGAGTTTGGGACTCAGTTGCCCACGGGGCAGGCACCCTCAGAAGCAAAAGTGTGGGCTGTTTCGGCATGCCAGGCTGCAAGCAAGTGCCGGAGCATCCCACGAGGCTCGTTACACTGTTGCTGCGGATGTTCTCGCATCCAGCACTTGCAGGTTCCTGTGCAGCACCTCGACAGTGCTGGCAGCCTGGTCTTCGAGGCGACCTCATGGACCTGCTTGGATGTTGAAGGTTCTCGGAATTGTCGTCGTCCCGGCGCAGAGGACGACCTCGACTCGGGCGAACAGATCATGGGCCGGGTTATGCAGTCGGAGTCCGAGGCTCAGATGTCGCGGCCCCCCCACGGGAAACCTGAGACCCATTCCTTAGCTCCGGACTCGACTATACCGGATTTGGTACCGCGAGGCTGGCAAAAATCAGGCTTCCAATCTCTGAGGACTTGTAAGCCGAGAAGCCCTTGGAAGTGAGTCTGACAAAGTACACACCTCGAGGATGAAGCGAGACCTGCTGAACCGGTTCTGCATCGAGAGCACCTGAACAGCAATGAAGCGTCTGTTGCACTGTGCAACTGTGCCATGACATCACATGAACCAGCTGACGTCGTGAGGCCGGGAGGCAACGAGGAGCGACTGTTGCATCTTGCGATGATCTGCTGACGCATCTCCCTCCAGAGCACAGACTGCATGATGATTCTGAGCTTGTGGGGCAAAGGCAATATGGCACGCCGAGTCGCCGGATTGCTTTGCTGCCATCCGTATCGCGATCGTGCGTGCGTGATGATGCTCATGTTGCTCGCCTTGCCAGCGCCCTTCACGTGCATGCAGCCGTGTGCACCAGCAGCACTATTAGCTGATCTTGACAAATTGGCCGAAGTGGCGCGTCTGCATCGTTTTTCCGAGTTTTTTTGTTCCTTTGCTCAGCAAAAGCCACAGTTCAAAAAGCGGTTCTAAACGCGGAAGGGCGGTTCTAAACGCGGAAGCGGATGCGACCTCACTTGTTCCCAACTTTTTGCAGTCTGCATCAAACCAGCCTCCCAAAGCTCTTAGCTGGCTGATGCTTAGACTTGATTCAGAGAAGACTTCGACGGGGCAACTCACCGCTGACTTTTTTTAGCTCTTACATGCTCTTACACATCTTTGCACGCTTCTTGCATCGTGTTGCCTTCCAGAGCCCGGCCAGTTGCGTTCTCAAAGACTCCGGGCTTCGTCTTCCGCCTCAGGACGCCTACAGCAGCATGTGTCAACAGCTGGTGGACGACCTCGTGGCGAGAGAGCCTCTCCCCCAAGTTTTGGATGCAGAATCTTGTGACGGAGAGTCCCCCCAGGCTGGAAGACGTCGGGAACCAGAATCATGTCGCTTGGCCTGGCAGAAGCGGCTGGCTTTGGCAGTCGTGGCACGTGGCAGCACACTTGCAGGCCAGCCTTGCCTACCAGAGCAACACGTCGGGACCCCACAGGGTGTGGTGCATTAGTGAAGACACGAAGGACATGCAGCGAGAACCAAAACTAGGATGACAACGCGGCAAGCTGGATGCGACATTTCAAGTCGTAAGACGGCACGTTCGCGAGGGTTGTGCAGGGAGTTGGGACGAAGACGAAAAGGCAACCTTTTGAAGAACCGGCAAGGCCGCGACCCGTGACCGCCACATCTTCGGCCGACACTGCTGCGGGCTTGTTCCCCCGTTGCGTGCCATGTGCCGCAGGTGTATCGGTTGAATGTGCTGGATGCCTTTCCACAACCGATGGCATGAGGTGCTGATGAGCATAGTTTACGGTGCCACCTCACAGGAGAGACGAGTCGTGAACCGTCAGAAGCGTCCCTGGAAATTTCTGGTCTTATCCATCAGGGCGGCGAGCATGCTTACTCGGCCCCGCTTGGCACTGAAGAGCTCCGCCTGTCCCTTCGCCGAATTTCATGTTTCAGCTATGCTGTGAGTGCATGCTCAGGTCATCGCTTCGGCCAGAGCCAGAGCCAGTGCCGGCCTCGACCCGGCTTTTGCAACCTCATGTAGTAGTAGGCATGTAGGAACTATCCCTTCGCAGGAACGCAAAGATGGCAATGTCTTGGAGGCTGGCCGTTGTTGCCATGCCTACTGCCTGCACATGTCTGCGCAAGTGCATTGGCAGAATTGCGACAGGATGATGCGGGTAGGAGCAGCCGTGCCATTGCTGATGGCCTCGTCCATGAAGGGTTCGTGGCTCAATTTGTGTGCTCAGCTCATTTGTGGATCCAGTTGGCCTGATCCAAGTTTGCGACCCCTTGTGCAAACTCCATCAGCCGAAACAGCTTGCGCCTGAATGGCTCTACGTCAGAAGCCTCGGGTTCGCGTCGCATTGGAGCTACCCTGTATATTGAGGTGCCAACCAGTGGCAGGCAAAGCGCCAATGCAGACTCCCGGGCCTCGCAGGCCTGGGCCTCGCAATGTCAAATGTCAAAGCCGTTGGCGGCCTCGGCGGCCCCTTCGTCAGGTCTCTGAGCAGAAATTGGACGCCTCCAAAGGGTCGTCCGGGCCCTCGCTCTTCGCCGGCCGTGCTGTCAGCAGAGACGAGCTCTGGAGCTTTCAGGCGCGTGAATCCAGGCAGCTGTATCCCGAGCGCGCCGTCGCGGGAGGCCGTGTGGATGGGCCGCGCCGTCTTTCGGTGTTTCGCTGTGGTGCATCAGTGGCATGCTGTATAGGCCAAGAGCAGTGTCGCCACGTTGCCCATGGAGGCAGGCAGTGTCCAGGATGTGTGTCACTTCCTTGCATATCAAGCGCCTGTGCCTGATCTAGTCAGGAGTCCGGCGCATCCCTGGTCGGAGGCATCGTACAGACTGAGTGGGCAGCCCAGAAGCCCAGGGCACCGGGGCCGAAGCTTCAGGACACTCAGCACGAGCTTTTGTGGTGCGAAATGCCAAGGCTGGAAAACCTGGGAGAGGAAGAAAGTAACGTCATGCTGAACCTCGAGGAAGAGAGCAACGTTCCACCCTTACCTGCTTGTGCATCCAGAGTGGTCATTCATCGGGCTTCGATGTGTCGCAAGCACAATGTTTGGCCTTGCCACCATGGTCCAGACTGGAACTTGGCCGGCTAAAGTTCAAAGGAAAACGGCGGCGACAATACCGCACGACCGAACGGAAGGAACTGGTGATGCCATTCGCGACCTGTGGGGTGCTGAAGTTGCCATGCATTGCCATACAGATCAGAAAAGAGTCAAGATGAGTCCAGCCGACATAAGAAGCCCTCCCCGATTCGGGTCCACAGGGTTTGGCGATGCTGGAAGCTCTAACATGTTTGCAATGCTCGCAATAGTGCTATATGGGCCCATGAAGAACTAGAAATCAGCGCAGCAACACCAGTCAACCCGCACTCAAGACACAGGGCAAACCAAGCCGTTCAAGACTGCTTACAAGATCTCAGAAGATCTTGCAAGGTGCGATCAAATCGGTCGCAAATTGTTCTAGCATGTCTTTTGTGTCGTCATTGTGGGAGGTTTTTGCAGATTCTGCTGCCAGTGTTCCTGCGGAGGAGGGGGGCGAGCAACGACTCTCCCTTTTTTTGGAAACCAAGCCAAGCCAAGCCTCCATATGCGATTTGTCGGGTTTAAGCCGGCCCAAACCCATCGTAAAATCGCAAAACACTGAACACTATGCAACTGCCAGCCAAATAGAGACAACCATGGTTGAAACCTCCGCAAGCCGACCAATTGGGTGGACAAGCAGGAAAAACAAACAACAATGCAATTTCAAATTGATTGCCAAGGCATGCCCAATCAGCCTACTGCGAGCATGTAATGCAGTAGAGACCTGAAGGCTGCATCGAAGCCAGCCACCTCTGATGCTGGGACATTCGAGGCAGGTGTCACTCCAGGATGCCGTGATACGCCGTGCAAGCATGGCGTGTGGTGTGGTCACAGGATGTCGTCTTCCAGCAGACGCTGCAAGATCAGCCGGCAACTCCGGGATACTCCTTCGGGACCTTCGGAACGCTTCTGTGACGCATCAAGGCTTGCGGTCCTGCACGTGCCGGATGAAGAGGCGAGTGGCGAGTGCCGTTTTTTCTGCCTGTCTTAGAGCTGTGTCGTCTTTGTCCGTATCACTGCTGCGGAGAAGTTGCCCAGGATGCTGCAGATGCTGAGGTGGCAGAGGTCATGCCGCCAGTCGTGCCATTCTGACAACAGTTTTCTCGAGTCTGCGTGTCTCATTTCGGTTCAGGTGCTTTCCAAAGCATGTTCTGCAGCTTGGTTGGAGGCGGAAGGTACGCCAGCTTCAACGGATCACAGTGCCATGGTACACACAGGATCGTGGTTGCTCTTCGGTACCACCTGGCCGACAATCAGGATGCGCAAAGTCTGCGATGCTCAAGGGGCCCGCTCTTGCAAAGCTGCAGATGTTGCGAAGGATTGTCGCCCGTGGCAGAAGTCGCATGTCCACCGGCAAGTCCGACATCGCGTGTGGAGGACAGCCAGCTGAAAGGTGCAAAGGTCGGGAGGTTGTCAAAGCGTCAAATCATGCTGACACGCGGGTGTCCTGCTTGAACGGTCAATGGGGAATCCCGCAAGTCATCGGGTCCTCGAGTGCGGGCTACAGTGAAACTCTTACAAGCTTCGTGGTGTGCAAGGCCGTTGGAACAGCGGAAGGTCCGAACACGTCGTGTCGTGGCACGTTCTGGAAAGCTTCAAGACATCTGGGTCCAAGATAGAGATGAGGTTCGATGCCGAGTGCAGATGGTCTTAAATGTGCTCGGAGATCAGTTCGTTGTCTTGGGCTTCGCTGCGTTTGCACAGGGCATCCGAAACGCCCTCACTTCGCCTCAACATTACAGCCTCAGAGTGTGGCAATTCGACTTCAGGGTTTGATGCCTATAAAGTATAGCCGCGTAGCCTATGACCACAAACGCAGCTCGGCAGCATCAACCGAGATCTTGCTGCACAGAAACGTTCCTGTCTCAACATCGGGTCTATCAACCAGCTGTGTCCAGTCAGAGGCGGGAGGCACTGTGTGGAAGCAGATGGCCATGCCCGTTCCAGACTTCATTCTGGGAGAAGCGAAAAGGTGGAAACACTACTTTGGAAAGGTCGTTCTGGAACTAGGGCACCTGGAATAGTTGCAAATTACAAGTCGATGGGCTCTGGCAGATGATTCGCGAAGAGACAGTAGCCCAAAGCTTTGCTATTCCAGTGCAACACAAGCCGTGACTACCTGGGAAGTAGCAGAATAATATGTCCATATCAAACAGGCTTGACAGACCCAGCAAGCCTCTGATGCGCCTTAGATGCTCGTCAAGCGTCCTGGATCGGCGAATGAGGGACCTTTGAATTGCAGTTATGGATCCTTGCAGTCGGTTGACGAGCATTGCAGTCTCTGTTTCGGATGTGGGGTGCCGTAGCAGATCCAGGCCGCGCTCCTGCAAAAGCTTGCGTTGATGGCTTTTCGTGGCTGGGGCCTTCTCTCCAAGACGCTGGTTTGCTCTGATCGAGAAACAAAGCACGGCAGAAACCTGCTTCAGAAACAGGCCCGTTAGGTATCCTTTGCAAGAACAGGAGGCGAAGAGCAAAGGGGCTGAGGGAAACTTGCGATACTGGCATGTAGCTATAGTCAAGTTGCAGTGTTGGGTTTCGGCTTTGCTCCTCAGTTGCAGTTGAAGATAAAAGTGCACTGTAGTAGGAACCCAGCATACCAACGCAGTGAAGATCCAGTTTTTGTCATCGTGCGGATGGAGGAGTCGTTGGCGGAAGAAGCGGTGCAGAGTGCGCTGCGAGACGCAGGCCATGTTGGGCCTTGGCCAAACACTCCTTGTAGCCGGCACGTGGCTTCACCAGGTGAGGTTGCCATTTCGGATGGTGGTTCCAGTCGCGGAAGTGACGTGCGCCAATCCGGCGTTTCTGCGCAGCATAGGGCAGGTGGCAGGAAGTAAAGCCTACAGCAGTGCCGTCCAGGTCGTGGCAAGCCAGATTGCTGGCTGTCTGGCCTGGGCCCTGGCTCCTTGAGTGCGACTTTGGCAAACTCGACTCCAAGGCTTCCGATGTCTTGCCTCCATGACATGAGCTAGATTCCTGTTCAGTGCTTTACTGTAGAGGCCGAGCAGCAAGTGCAGCACACATCAGCATTGGAGCAAATATCCGCACATGTAAGTGCGCCATCGTCAAGCCTGGAAACCGACGGTTTGTGTCTAGACGGCCTCTGGCAAAGCCACAACGGCTGCAATTTAAGCAGGCACTTTGCAAGCCACGCTTCGGCACTCGAAAAAGTCCGGGTCAGCAAGCTTGACCCGTCTGTACAAAGCTGCGTGGCATGTTAATGAGATGTCATCCGAATCTGCCCAGCAGGAACGATTCAATTGGCTTGTCAGAGGGCGATTCGATGTGATATGTCGGACCAAAAAACGGACATGCAGCGCTTGATTGTCGGATGGTGGTTTGTGGTGATCACTTCAGCAGAGAAGTTCCAGGACGCCAGTAATGCTATTTTGAGTACATCGAATGCTCCCTTCACTGCTCCGAGCCACTTCGGTTTACCCATCAGAAGTGATGTGACAGGATATGAATTATATGATGGATGTGAGTGGGGATGTTGCTGCAGCTGCATAGAACGAACTAAGGCTATATAAGAGCTTTAAGCCGTCGTGAAAGTCACTGCCTCTCATGGACTTGCCAGATGCGGAAGGGGCGCCTTGGACTCCAAGTGCAGTTGAAATTCGCTGAAGCTGATTCTGTTGCTCATGTTCTTAGGTATCTCTTGAAGGAGGATGACCCCCAGGAGAGTCGCGAGCTGCTTAGCTTTCGCATGTGGGCGTTGGCCCAGGACGCCGGCTCCACGAAGGCTTTGCCCATCTCCCAGTTGAAGGCTCGCACTGGACACAGGCTAAGAAGCTCACAGCTCATTCTAAGCGCTGCACTGACGGAAGAAGTGGAGGCTTGGACAAAGGGCCGGGCATGGGTCTTTACCGACTTCGAGTTGAAAGACACGGTGGGCCGCTGTCGCATCGACATGTGTTGGCTGGAACGTCTTTGACGTGAGGTGGGGAAGGGCACCTTCAGCCGGGTGCGCGTGGTGAAGATGAAATCCAGCCAAGAGAGGCAGGGGGAGCGCGGAATATCAAGGGCTTCCTGCACACACAAACTTAGGACTCCCATGGTGCTGAAGATTCTCCGGAAGGGTGACGTGATCCGGCTCAAGCAGGCACAACACGAGACAAAGCGTCCTCTTCAGTTCACTTTGAGAACTGCAGGTGGAGCATGTCAAGGCCGAAAAGCAGATCATGTCAATGGTCGAACATCCCTTCATCGTCAACCTGCTGGGGGCCTTCCAGGACGACGATCTGCCCTTGAATGATTGTTCGACGGGAGTGAACGTCCCTCTCTGAAAACGGGATCAAGTTCAGGTCCTTATCCAGTTTCCCTGAAGTCGCGAAATTCACGGTTTAGCCACGCATTGCCGTGTGGTTGACTTGCCACGTTTCTATCTCCCGCGGAGGTTTCTTTTGCATTGTGCAGGCCCTTAACTTTCCTACACCAAGCCATGCAATGCCAACTGAACAGCGATTCGATTGTGATGCGTACCGTTTAGGATTCCCTGCCAGTTCGAGGTTGGGCATGCGGGGGCACTTTCCACTATGGGCCCTTGTGCTTTGGATTCGCTCTCGCTCCAAGGCGTTGGCCCCTCAAGTACTCAAGCTTCAGAGTTTACCAGCTACGGAGGCTGCCAAACGAAGCTGTGTTGGCAACAGCGGGTCTGCCACAGTTTGCTTTGATTTTGCCTGAATTCGGCTTCAATGCGTCGTGTTGGTCAGCCATCAGCTCTGTCTTCCCGGACTGGCCCCGGCAATCCTGGATGTGTTTTTTCGAGTTACGGTGTTGAGGGTCTTGCAATTCGGCAGCCACGACTTCTTTGCGGCACTCCTGTCTGTGATAGTTTAGGGTTTTGCGAGCATACTGGGTCTGCTGTCAACAGTCAACATTTCAGTTTTCTGGCGGTTTCTCTGGTTTGAAGGCTTTTGTTTGTTTTTGGATCTGCCATTCCGCACTCCTTCGCATCGTTCGCCGTTGCAATGGTCTGGTTTTGTTTTGAAGCATTGCATGGCATCCCATCGATGTTGTGCCAACTTGGAGTCGTTTCGGGTTTGGATCCATCTACTGTACAAATGGTGGAAAGAGGTTTGCCAGCCACCAGTTCAGGGTTTCGACGTTATGGGTTTAGGGTCTGCCAGTCATCGCCGTGTCGATGTAAGATTCGCCAGCCACATCGGATGCTCAATCTGCAGAAACTACCGATTTAACCGGAAGCAACCTAAACCTTAACTTTGTTTCCCATCCAACCTTTACTTTATCTGCGATCTAGTACTGTGCGCCGCCTTTCCTGAGATCGGCCGCAACACCAGTGATTTGCGGCGCTGCCACTGATGTTTTGTTTTCGTGCGGGTGCTTGCGAAATCGAGCGTCTACACCTCCCCTCCACCCCTCCCCCGCTCCCTTCCCGCTTTCTACGGTTGCGTTTTGCTTGTGAGGGTGGTTTCGTTTCAGAGTTTGGTTTAGGGTTGGATATATCTGTCTAGGCGCCCCGCAGGGGGAAGCCGGGCATAGGGTTTCGCCGAGGTTCCCAATATTTTTGGGGAAACCCGGATTAGGGTTTAGGGTGCCTGGCACTCCACAACAGGAGACAGTGAGCACATTCGATTTAGGGCCCTTAATTTCATTCCCGATCCCAATCAGGGTAAGCTGGGCTTCGGGTTTAGGTTAGTGCTAGGTTAGGTTGTTTCCCCCCGCCATGATGACGTCCATACTGGTCCGAAAAGAAGATCAACCAACCTTGATGACATCCACACTAGGGTGTTTGCATATAACATATAGCCATGTGTATTCTGGCCAACACACGGGTGTGCTGAAGCTGAAGCTCCTCCGGATGCTTTGACGGCCATGCCTGTGCCAACACGCTGCTTCTCCTATGGTTGCAATTTATCCCTTTGCCTTAGACGTCGAGCTGCAGTCTCGGAATCTGGCTGTATAGGCGAGTGCTTAGAAGGCGCTTTTGACAATCGAGTATGGATGTGGCGGCACTCCAACGGGTGTATGCAGCCCGTGTGGCTGCAGCTGCAGACCCATACAGGCGCTGCTGGCACTCCTGAGCAGGCTGCGGGAAGTAGGACGGCAGCTGCAACTTGCCTGATTTGTCTGCTTTCTGGTGAGGTATGGCACGAGACAAGGCGCCAGACTGGTTAACGGGCATTCTGGATGCTGTCGAGAGCGAAAGCATTGCTGTGCGTCGAGAAATGGCTGTGACAGTTCGTTGCGGCAGCGTGTTGTGGATATGGAGTGTGTCTGCTGCGGAGCTGTGATGACAAGTGGATGTCACACGGTTGCGTGGTGACACGAAGCGCTGTGAGCGCTGTAGGATCTCCGAAGAACTTTCCTGAACATTTGGTCCCGAGGCCCTTCCTGAACAAATGGTCCCAATGCCTTTCTCAAAGATTTGACCCCGAGGCTTTCCGGAAAGATGGAAGCTTCCATGCTATACCCCAACGACATGGCTTCAATGCACCAGTCGAAAGGAGGACGTTGCACACGGGGAACAAATAATACATTTTGCAGATGGACAATCACTAAACTGCTTTCCTGCATGTGTGCTGGGTCTTTCCACCGAAATTCTCTCCCGCCTTGTCTGGCATGTTCTGTACAGGCCATCTTTGTGTTGGTTCAAACCCTCGCTCCCACCCCGCCCCTCCTGGTTTCTAGGGTGGCAGTTCGCCTGTGGAGGTGGTTTCGTTTCAGGGCTTGGTTTAAGGTTTAGGACATACCTGCCTAGGCCCCCCGAAGGGGGAAGCCAGGCATAGGGTTTCGCCGAGGTCCCCACATTCAGGTTAGTTTTCTTGATCCATGAGCTACAATTCATATGAATGCCGTGGAGCCGCTTATGGAGAAGAGCCTGTACGGATGAGCCGGGGGGGGCCGAAAACAAGAAATTAAAACACAAAGACGAACAACATGGTTTTTTTTGCCGCTCGCCACACGGCACATTCCAAGGGGCTCTCTTCCCCAGACGCATTCTCGTTTCTTCTGCTTACGTTTACGCGTGCTCTAATATATTATTCTCTTCAAACATGACTCCAAATCAGTCATAGCTCACTTTTACCAAACTTACTCACTGTCTTTGCGTTTCTGTTGATAATTTTACAACCGTGTTTTTGCTGATTCTAATTGCGCGTGTCATGGTGACGTATGCAGAATTGATTGTGTGTGAGTGTGTGTGTGTGTGTGTGTGTGTGTGTGTGTGTGAACCTCCCTAGCACATGGGAGCAGAGGGTCACTCCTACACTGTTTGCAATTTTTGCTTTGCAACTCAATCAGACATTTGACATTTACCGAATCAAATGTTGCAGGGGGCCAGCGCATGGTGTTGTGACGCTGGCCAACGAAGCTAGCAACACCATGGGAAGAGGTTTGGGACGCCAAACCTTGTACCTGCACAAAATTGAGCTGGGGCCCCTGTGCCAGCCCGATTAGAAGGCCCCTGTGCCAAGATTAGAGAGTTTTCAGTTGCCACTTTTGGCGGTTGATTCGACAACAAACAAGTTGTACGGTTGCCACAATCTGACAAGCTTTTGCAACATGAACAACATGCCTCTCTTTTTCCTCTTGCACTCGTACTCTTGGCCGAATCCATCAGTGTGATCAGCGTGGGTCTATGAGACTCCAGAGCAACGGCTTTCCGTCAAGGCGCCGTGGTGACCCTCCGGGGAGACCGGTGATGAACCGGGTGTTCAGCCTTCGTTCAGATCGTTCAGATTCTCCAGATGCTTCTTTATCTCTCTCTCTCTGATGCTCGCATGTGAGTCTGACATGAGTGCAGGTGCAGTAAGGGACGGCTAATGCGGTAAAGTGCGTCTAGTGAGCAGGTCCTCTCTATTCTGCCCCGTATTTTTTCACTTCTTTATTCCTCAGGGACTGCAAGGGCATGTGCATCTGACATGAGTGCAGACGTGGTAAAGATGTCTACAGCAAGTGAAGCAGCGCTCTCTCCGGAGAGTACTCGGCCCTCCACCTTCCTTCTCTCCGTCTACGACCTCTCAAATCAGTCCAGCAGGGACAATCAGGACAGCCTGCACTTTGCTTGTGCAACTGTGTGTGTTTCACCCGCTTCGTTGCAGCTATGTGGCCGGATTATTTTGCCGCGCAGCCACCAGCAACACCATATGCACCAACAGCCCGACCGGTGCTTAATCAATTTCACCAGAACACCTGGGTACCGCAGTCTCAAAGCTACCCAGCAATGATGCCAACCGGCATTGCTGCCACTCAGCAGCCCACACTGCCGACACAACCCACTACGATTCCTCTTGAGCAAACACACGGCTTCCCCATGATGCCGTGTGGACACACCGCTCCTATTCCACAGCATCCGACTATCTACGCACATCTCAGCACACCACAACCCCAGATGCCACAACAACCTCCACCCCAGCAATTCATGTCACAACAACCCACACCGCTCATGAATCCTGCTCCTTTGCCTACCCATCCAACAGCTTTTCCCATGAGCCCATCTGCTTCGACACAGCATCAGGCCCAACCTACTACATTCAACTTTCCTTTTGCACCACCTGCCCCACAACCACAACTTGCACCCTGCAACATCCCTCCCACACAACCCATTCAACAATCCCACATACCGCCGCCAACAACAATTCAACAAGCTCCACAACCCCACCCCACCAGTGTTCCCACTGCCGATGCTGCACACACTGCCCCGCAGACACCGGCAATGACGCCCCAACAACAACAACCAACAAACACAGCCAATACCCCTTCTGTCAATACAGTACCACCCGCACAACCACCCCCAGATACGGGATCGGCAGACACTGACCAGCTCGCAGCCCGTACTTCCCCCCATCATCCTCCGCTGCCACGCAGACGACGGCATTCACCCACACGCAGCAGGACTCGCACCGCGAGCACTAGACGCCGTCGACACACGCGCAGCCGAGCACGACCTGCAAGCAGCGGCAGACAGCACCGCCGACGCAGACACCATCGATCCCGCGACACTCGCAGAAGCCGTTCTCGCAGGGACACCAGGCGTGCTTCATCGACACCTCCTCGGACCTCGGTTGTGCTCCGCAGCTATTCTACAGTGCGTGATGATGATGCCAACAAGTGGCATTACAGAGCCACACAGCCACGTCAAAGGCCACCTACCCCACCCAAGGTGCCACAAAAAACATTGGCTTCGCAGGTTCAGCGCATCGCCCTCCGCATCAAGGGCAGCCAAGCCGCACAACAGCAGCCCCCAACAAGCCAGGGCACATCCTCGCGCCAACAGCTTAGGCACAATCCCCCCAGCTCTGTTCGGACACCTGCTCCGACTTAC